AGAAATTAGAATCATCAAGCTTAACATTCACAGATGTAGAAATCGTAGAGATAAGACCAGTAATAGGTGATTGAAGGAGTTGTAATTGAGAAGCAGTAACCATAGTTGCAGACATGAGATGAAAAATCAACAGAGGAAATATCACAAACACCTGGTATGCACAATCTTGAATTCGCAGGAAAAATGAGATCAAGAAAACCAGAAACCCTAGAAATCACAGAAGAAGAGAATACCAAAAGTCAACCAAGACGCAGCAATGTACCGTCGTCGAGAAATAGAAAGGATAAGAAATCGAAAGATCAAGCGGAAGCAGCCGAAGAATCGAAGAAAATAGCGTGAGCAACAATGGCGATTGATACCATGTTAACACAGAAAATGAAGAGATCAAGAGAGAAGAACAGAGCTTCAAGAACTAGAGAGGGAAAGATTTAGAGGGAGGAAAACTATCGAATCTTTATTATTTCTGTTTTTGCTTAATCTCAAATCTATTACAATGATGTATTTATAGAGAGAACACATTCTCTAACAACTTAACTAACTAAGAGTTATAATCCTGTGACAGATGGCACAATCCTAGCCACTGTCTATATCTATCTCTTTACACTAACAACCCATACTACTACCCCCTAACTAGACCTAGTAGTCTCTCAGTCAAATGAATTCAAGTCCAAACAAAAGACTTGACAAAACCAATACCACAAAACAGAAATGCTCTAGCTCTTTTAGTTCAACTGATTATTTAATTGGTAACACAACTTCCCCAAGGGTGTCTAATCCCTATGCTCTGATACCATTTTATCACGCCCCAGACCCGGGGTCAATAGGAAAAATCTCAAACCTGAATCCGGCGTGCGAGCTAAAAAATAAAATTAAATGAAAGGAAAGTGAAACTGGGTGGAAAAATATGAAATAATTCTTGGGATGTCCCAGAGGCAATTGCATATATACTTCTTCTTCAAGTTCCCCATGCAAGAAGGCATTTTTCATGTCCATTTAGAATAAGAACCAACCTTGGTTGACTGCCACATAAAGAAGAACCCGAACTATTTTCATCTTGGCCACAAGCGTAAAAGTCTCCTTGTAGTCCACCTTGTACGTTTGAGTAAAACCCCGAGCCATCAATCACTCTTAATAGCACTCAATAGAGCCATCTGAATGAAATTTGAGCTTGTAAACCCACCTACTACCCATGACTTTCTTTCCACAAGGAAGGTGAACAATACTCCAAGTGTGGTTGTCGTTAAGGGCTCGCACCTCCTCATCCACAGCTTGTCTTCATTCGGTATGAAGGTTGGCTTCCTGAAACGTATTGGGTTCACGGTGGTTTAAGAGAGCACTGAGAAAAGCTATATGGGAAGGTGAGCAGCGATGTTATGCAAGTGTGACAGGATACCATGCTACATAGGTAACATAATCCAGCAATTTGGATGAAAGTTGGTGTGCTCTTGGAGGAATTCTTCAAACTGGAAGTAAGTCAACCTCTTGGTGGCTGAGAGGTGTTCTTATGGCCTCGTCATGAGACTGTGACACGTGGCAGAGACTTGAGGAATCAGGAGAATGCCCAACAGAAAATGGACGAGACTCCCGAGCAGGAGCATGAAAGACATCAAATTGAAGATAGTCCAAGTTAATGTCCCTAATAGGATTAGGCAGCGGAATTAGATCCTCCCAAGTCTCCCCTTTACCTGAACCTGCAGCTCCTTTGTGAAAAAAGGAATGGACTCCTCAAATTTTACATCTCTAGACACCACAATTTTGTTAGTAACAGGATTAAAGCATTTATACCCTCTTTGAGTTGAAGAATATCCCAAAAACACACACTTAGTAGATCGGGGATCCAACTTATCACGATGAGGTGCTTGAACATGCACAAAACATGTACATCCAAACACTTTTAAATGTGACACATCTATGGGTCTAGTTTTAAGAACTTCATAGGATGATTTAAACTCCAAAACTCAACTTGGAAGCTGGTTTATCAAATATGTGGCAGTGAGCACTCTTTGTGACCAAAACTTCTTGGGAATGTTCATGTGAAGCATGAGGGAACGTGTCTTCTCTAGGAGATCTCTATTTTTCCTCTCGGCCACCCCCATTTTGTTGGGGCGTTCCAACACAACTTGTTTGATGAAATATGCCATGCATGCTCAAATATTGTGTCATGTTATTAGACATGTATTCGGTACCATTATCCGATCTTAATATTTGAAGTTTGGAGTCAAAGTGAGTTGTAACAAGGTTGTGAAAGTCTTGGAACATATTAACCACTTCACTTTTGAATTTCAAGAGATATAACCAAATGATTCTTGTAAAATCATCAACAAATGTCACAAAATATTTATAGCCATCAAATGATTCATTAATTGGACCCCAAATATCCAAGTGTACAATTTCAAAAAGCTTACTAGTCTAGCGAATTTGGGAAAATTATAAGTGTCACACTTGATGAGAGTTTGACACATAGTAGGAAATAACTTAGACAAAATAGGTGTGGACGGATGTGCTAGACGCTGGTGCCACAAATGTGGGTCTTGGGGCTGTTTTGAACTTGAGGTTGCACTAACTTGAAGGCCTTCAGACAGTGAGAAATTTCTTGGCAAATAATGGAGACCATTGAGAAAGAAACCTTCACCAATCATCTTCCTAGTGACTAGGTCCTAAAAAATCACATTATTGGGTGAGAAATTTGCAAGACAGTTTAATGTTTTGGTAATTTTTCCAATGGAAAGAAGTTGAAAAGGGAAGGCAGGAATGTATAGGGCTGTGGACTCAACTTGGTTAGAAATTAACCTAATTTTTCTTTTACCTATAACAGAAACTCCTTTCCCATTAGCAACAGACACTTGAGATAACATGTTTTAAAATTCATGCAAGTTTGTTCTTTGGTTTGTCATGTGATCAGTGGCACTCGAATCAATGATCCAACAATCATGCACATGACTTGAATTTAGATCATTAGAAAAGGCATTGAAGATACCTAGTGCAGCTTCATATGGTACACCATCAGCCTCTGCTAGGAACCCCGCAAACATTCCAAGCATCATAGAATGGTTCTCAGATTTAGTCATTGTTGCCTCTTCACCCTTTCCATTCCTTTTCTTGCGTTGAATAAATGAAGCAAATTCATTTATTAGAGAAATAAGGTTTGAAGTAAAATCCAACATCCCATCAGTGGTGACATGATTTAAAGTAGATTCTACATGGTTTGCCATATGATTGACTTTGTATGGTGAACTAGTAGGTAGCCTTTTATGGTTCCTTGTTGTCCTTGTTGAACTTCGGTTTCAGTTCAGATTGAAGTATCCAGCACCGATCCTTGGTATGACCAATTCCAAGATAGCCAATTCCAAGACAATGATCGCACTTCAAGTCGGGGCGCTTACCTTTGTAAACCTTCACCTGAGGTGGCTGGTAGTTTGAGGCATATGCTCGAGATTCTCGCATGACACTTTGGTGTCTAATCCCATGACCCGTCTTCTGACTTTTTCACGTTGAATGGTGGCACAAACACTAGAGAAAGACAGAAGCTCTAAATTCATCAAAATGTGACTTCTCAAGTCTTCATACTCCAAGCTCAAGCTCGCTAGTAGTTGAAATTTTTTCCTCCTCGGCTCTTTTTAACAACATTGTAGCATCTGTGGTATGAGATCGATAGACATCTAGCTCATTCCACATAGTGGTAAGGTTGCCAAGATGTTGCAAAGGACTTGTTTTCTTGTTGTAGAGGGGCAACGTCTCTCTTGAGTTGAAAGACATGAGCCGAGTTGTTTTGATTGCCATACATTTCCTTCACTTTGTTCCATAGATGGTATGAAGAATTACAGTAGCTGAAAATTTCAGTAATTTTCATAATTTTGAGACGTAATTTCTGGTGCTTGAATGACCCCATTGATGAAGCCAAGCTTGGCCCTTCCACCGAGAGCCAAAGAAACTACCCTCGACCAAGGAAGATAATTAAACTCATTCAACAAAACTGAACTGAGTCTTTGATTTGGGTTGATATCAACCTCAGGGAAATTTGTAGGAGGTGAGGCAAGAGTGCTCTCAGCTTCTTGATTGACTAAATTTTCTTCTGCCATATTGTTGGCTGAGAACCACGACAAAAGGTTGCAGAGTCAGGCCTAAGAAGGATACTGCTGAATACCATGTGGAAAAATGAGTTTTTGGTATATTTCCGATTGATGTTTTGTGTTTACAGCAAGAGTCATTATATGAAGCAGCAAACACAAGGGAAGATACACGTACGCCACCTTCTCCTTGATTGAAGGCCTAAACATATGGCTTTTAATTGATTACAAAGCATTCCTTGATTTAAGGAGATTTACATAGAGTCACCTAAAGACCCTAAGACCCTAGTTTCTAGGAGCAGCAGCATGTTGCTACAGGAAGGACAGCGATAGGACTTGCTGCTACTGAAAACTAGGGTGGCTGTAGTAGACTTTAGGGGTTACCTTTGTTTAATGCTTGTTTCCCTTGCTATGGCTTTTCGTTCAAGAATATCACAGGCTTGTCAGGAAAGGCTGCAAGTAAATCGATCTGGCTCGGCAGTGTCGAGTCTTAATGTTTGACGATCTTGCAAAAGTAATAGACACCAACGATGAAAGGATATCTGTTAGCAATGGGATACGTAGTCAACGAACTCATCCTTCCTATATGCAGATAATGTCATAAATTTAGTAATTTTGAACAGTTTGAGGTGGCTTAATTAGCATGCATTGAATTTGAGCCTCTTGTTTCTGTATGCTATGATCGTAACTAGTTTTAAGGGTAATTTACGTATAGTTAAAAAATGTTTCAACTAGTTTTAATTGTAGAGTCTGATGCAAGGCAGTAGGAACTGTCCAGCGGGTAAAATAGCGCCAAATAGTGAATTAACAGAGTTCTAGGGAAAAATCCCAGGAGAACACTTGAATCTAAATTCTGGAACATTATTGATGAAAAGCTGAATACAAGAGTCTTTTAATAGCCTATTTATGCTAGAGTACAGCAGCCTAGAAAACCTAATCCATCGGCAGGTAAAAGTGATCACTTGAGCCTGCCGAAGAATCCCTGTCACTCTCTGATATTGGAAATGATGTGCAGGCCTTGAAATTGATCTGGGGTTTCCGTGGCAAACGCCACTCATCAATGCATGCCATTTGGTGATGATCCAAATTTGAAGGAATACCAGGTTCCACAATATAAAGAATCCTTTCAGTTTTACCAAGAACATGAACTGCAAGTCTCACACTTTCCTCCCTCTCTTCAATTGTGCTGTTAAAACACTTGATTGCCACAGCTTCCTGTAAATTTGTGAGACACGCACCCATTATGTCAGAGATCATCACAACCATTGATTCATATAATCTCTCACTTGATTCATTGATTTTTCCTTTAGGATTTAGCAGAAGAGTTTGGCTTATCCTGTACATGGAATTAGCGGCAAGCTCCTTAACAGACCATTTGGAAGGGATATCTCTCGAACACACATTCTCCTTACTCATCTTCCGCTTTCTACATTCTTCAAATATGGATTTTGCAGTTTCAGAAAGTTCTTCAAGTGTTTCCTTTAGACACTTCCCTTGACGTGACAATCTTCCGAGATCCAAATCTAGCCATGTGTGATATAGATCAACTCTTAGCCACACGACCCCTGCCGCCTTTCTGATGTTGGCAAGATCTCCTTTGCTATCCAGCTGTTTCTCAATGGCATTCATGTACATGAGCCCTTCATGTACCCCATCTATCAGATTTTCGATTGAACCAGAACCGATGTTTGGAAGTGCAAGTGCAATACTTGTTAGTGTCACAACAGGAAGAGCCCAACAATTTGGAGGTTCTTCACATTGTAGAGAGGGAACTTGATCACTGTCAAACTCTGCCACTCCTTTGAATCCTTGTGAGGCTGTTGATTTCCCCAATAGCTTAATGAGATGCTTGGGTTCTTCTTTTGTTCCCTTCTGAATCCAATGATCAGTAGCATCACAGTTGGAATTCATCATGTAATGAACCAACGCATCCTCACCTTCAAGATACAGAACATAATTACTAAGATCTTGCCTTGGGTTTTTCTGGGACATTGGGATGGAGTCGAATTCCAACTTCTTTTTCTTCCACTCCCTGAACAAGTCGCTGAGTAAAAAGATCCGACTCACCAAGAAAATGGAAATGAATCGAATTGCTTTACTTGATAGGACAATCCCCTTTTGCATTGCAATACACAAGTCCAAAAGTTTGTTTCTTGCTTCATGTGCAAGTTTCCTGCAGTCCCGAGATTTGATTCTAAAAGTTAATGGACACTTTTTCAACTCCGCAAGCCCCTGAATCCAGTACCTTTCTATTTCGAATTCTTTTCTGTAGCTTATATTTCCTCTTTTCGGGCACTTAAAGTTGATGGCTATGAACCATCTAAACGACGGGGAAATAGTACCAACTCCTACTGCAACTGCTTGCGTAAATAGAATCAAAGTGGTTGTCAATTTGTAGTCTGATTCCCCGCTGCAAAACTTAATGGACCATGGCATCAAGTATGTTCTAAACATGGCTTGGGCCAAAATCATGGCACTCAAAAGACAGAAAGCTCCAGAAGCAGTGCATGTCACTGACCTGCCCATCACAAATTGAGGGCTAGAGGTGTGAGCCATCAGCCAAAGCTTTGTCAATGTGTCTCTGAGTTTGGTAACTTCTTTTCTACCACTTGCATTTGTGCATTCTTTTGAAGATAATTGGTATCTTTTCTTGTACCCTTTTTCTAAATAATTCTTTGTTGTTGGAACGGTTAAAGCCGAGAAAATCAGCATGAGGAGCAAAACAAGCATGATGAACATAACCGAAGCGTGCTCCTTCCAGAAAACAAAGATTGCACCGGTAGCTAATTGGATGCAAATATTGACAATAAGGGTGATGACTAGAATTCCCAAGGCAATTACATTCATGAACATCTCTTCATTTTCCATGGCTCCAAGAGACGGCATGGAGTTAGCCATTGCTGTGCAGATCAAGGCAGAACTGCTAAGCTTTGCAAGCTGGTCATGACGGTTGGGCATGGGAGTGTTCAGATCCACCGACAATTTGATGGCTATACCTATCAAGGTCAGAGATGTGGCATTAATGGAGAAGAACTTGCAGGGAAACCAGTACTTATGGTGCCGGATGCCGAGGATTACATCTGCAGCCATTGCAATCAGACAGGCCAAGGATGCTGCTGCTACATACATGCCAATCCAAGGCATTGGTGCACTAAACTTCTCCTCATACAGGTTACCGTTCATGTCACAGCCACCCATCTTTCTTTTTTCCTTGTTTGTGTTGTGGAATGTTGAATATGTTATCAAGAATTTCAGGTCCTCCTAGCTTTAAATGCTTTACCATGTTAACACTGTTGCATTCCTTGATTAACGTTTGACTTGAGTGTAGGAGAATGTTTTGAATATTTTGTGTTCATGTTTGGATTTTTCTTTTTCACAGTAGCCTGAGCAGGTTAACTTTTTTTGTAGCTTACTGATCATGGGAGTCAAGTGGAGCAGTTTAGGCTTTATTTTAGTACCAAATTTGTCAGCATCTCGTCTTTATTCTCAGGTAGTTTAATTCTTTTTTAAAATACACTCTTATATACTAACTCGATATCCATGTCTCTTCGCAATTGCTGATCTCCTCTCAACTAATTATTATAATTAAAAAAGTTACTTAGATTTTGGTCATAGCTACAATATTAAAAAGAAGGCTGAAGCAATGAAGTTGTTAGAATATTTGGGAAATGAAGCATGAATTAATATAGATACCAGATTCGTGTTAAACGTTGCAGCTTGAGTAGGAGCAGTGCATGTTACTAATGCTGAGAAATTTGTCGGCCACGTTCCGTGTATGGTGAACGTATGTTGAGCAGCTGCAGGAAGACGCAAGGGGGTTCTTCTGCCATGTAACCGAGGGCCATTGCAGTAAAAGCTGCAGGAACTCACAGTCTTGGGCGATAGCTATTTCTATTGGTCACTGGCTATGAGAGAAGAAACACACTAGTGTTGAATGTAATTGAGTGATTTAGGCAGAGTGACATGCACTATTTATACACATAAATTATGCAAAAATACATCATTCATCCCTAGGCGTAACCAAATTAATCTAATTTATTTACCATGGTAATAACATATTGTCTCGAGGGGTGGTAGTAATATCCTTTTCCGAACACATTAATTTCGTGGAGGTGTCCATCCCCTCCCATGGATGGAATATTAAGCATGTCATGAGCACCTGCAATACTAGGTGATATCATGTGGAATGACTTGATTAATGTGACAACACATTTCTAAGTTGAACGACTTACATGGCACGAATTTCTGCATGGAAGATGCTCTCTGTGACTAACTTAATATGCATTATTGTCCGTTTCTTTTTACAATCAAATTAACGTCAAAATTCTTGAGATCCCATGCATGCATGCACGTACATGAAATACTTAGAATCAATTAGATGATAGCTACTGGTCAAGGCTTCGTAATGGGATGCATCTATGTCAAAGTAAAAAGACTGGTATATCTTGAAGTGATATTGAAAGAAAGAAAGAAAAAAAGAAATATTGCTCCTTGCTCCATTTTGCATACAATATAGATTTACATAGACACACAAAATGAACATTATCATTGACATGTTTTATTGTTCGTGCAGGTATTTTCTATAATGTTAGGACTCACTCTTTAAGAGAATGTGCCGAAATTGATGATATCAACTTTATATATATGTGTGTGTATATATATACAGATTGCTTAAGGGAAGGGATCCCCATTTTTTGAAAAAAATGGGGATTAGGTGTGGGGCCCACTCCACATCGAATTTCAACGATCCGAACCGTCTATTTTGTTAGTCTCGATTCATAGATCATCCTTGCAAAATATTAGCTAAATCGGAAATGTTTAAGACATCTAATTGGGTTCAAGGAAATGAACGAATACTTTGTTATATAAGAAAAAATGAAATTTGATCTTGATAATTAAATAGGCAAACGGTTTCGGATTGAATTGAATTTTTGCAAGGATGATCTATGAATTGAGACTAACAAAATAGACGGTTCGGATCGTTGAAATTCGATGTGGAGTGGGCCCCACACCTAATCCCCATTTTTTTCAAAAAATGGGGATCCCTTCCCTTAAGCAATATGTATGTATATATATATATATGTGTGTGTGTGTGTGTGTGTGTGTGTATATGTGTGTGTGTGTGTGTGTGTGTAACCAAATATATATATGTGTGTGTGTGTGTCCAAATTGTAATAGCCCGTTACAAAAAATTATGATTTATATAATTTTAATAAGTGAATTTACGAAAATGCCCTTCGAGGCAAAAACGTTGACTCGTGTTGACTGCCTTGTCATTCACATCAGACTCGATTTCTTGGCATATCCTCATAGTACTCGTCGCTACGAACGCGTGGGTACAAACGGATTTGGAGTCATAACGAAGGAAATATTAACGTTTAAAGTCGAGGGCATTTTAGTAAATTAATTAATTTCAGGAAAACACCAGACTTTTTGGAGAAAAATATGGAATGCCACGTGTGTGGCCCGTTTAAAAAAAAAGGAGATGATGCGCGGTGGAGATAGAGGATAAAGGAGAGAAGGGAGGAAGAGTTGAAGCCAATCAGAAAGAAGAGAAAGAGGGAGTAACCAAAAAGGAAGAAAAGAAAGGAGGGGAATGGAAGGAGAGAGAAATGAGAGAACCAGACTCCAAGCCTTCGACCCATTTCTTTCTTCGACCCGACTCGTTGGGATTTATGAAATCCAACGATTTTCCATCGATGTTTCCGGCCTTCTTCAACCTCCCGTCATCACCAAAACTCATCACCACATCCCAGCACCTAATTCTAACCAAAACCCAATGAGATTTGCTTTGATTGTGCGGGAAAAACCACCCATTGGTCCAAGGGTTTCTCAGTCTTGATCCTCCAATTGTGAAACGTTTTCTTTGAATTACCACTATCATAACACTCCTATAAAGGCCAAAAACAATGCCTAATCATTAGTTGGAGCGTCGGAGTTGATTTGAAGACGAATCAAGAATCACGCTTTATAGGGTTTCCGGTGGGTTTTCGTCAAATTAGGGCTTTTCCCGGAAAAATTGGCATTAGTCTTAGGTATGAAAGTTGCTCTACTCATTGAGATCTTCATTTTTGTGAAATTTGGTCATTTTTAGAAATAGTTGAATTTTTCCGGCAAGTCGGGGCGCCCAACCGCCACCTGCGGCTGCGCATGCGACAACGCGTGGGCCGCCCTGACCTTCCTAGGTTAAGTTTGAATTCCTTGATACCATTTGTGAGGTCCGATTAATGAATCTCCATCATTTGAACCTAGTTTCATTAAGGTCTGCCACCCAATTATTATAACAGTTAACGATCTGACCGTTGGATCATCACTAAACTTTGATACGTTGTAGTACATAATATTTGAGGATTTTAGAAACTTATGGATTGGGAATCCGACCTACGGATCTTCCTGAATAGGATTTGTAAGTTAAGTGTTCTATTGACAAGAATTCTGAGATATGGTTTGGTAATTGTTCTAGGTGCCGATTGTTTGTGACGCCTCGAAGTTGTGCTAGGGAATTGTAGCATGGACTTCAGGTGAGTGGGCGTTTGGTTTTCAATATATGTATATATGCTTTATGTTTTTCCCAAAAAAATTGATTTAAATGATTTTGTGTTTTATATGTCATGTCAAATGATTTATATTTTGGTATATGCTTTTAGTAGTTGTGTATGTCATTGTTTGATGTTGCGGACGCTCAGGTAAGTTCTAGGTGAGTATATGTATTGTGAGTTGCTTTATGTGAAAGGAAAATAATGAGATTTATGTGGGATTTCTAGTGACTAGCATGCATATACAATTCAAAATTTATATACATAAGCAACGGAAGCATGTTATCAAATAATATCAAAGCTATAGTCATGCAAATCCCCTTCAAGAAGCATAGGTTTATATAAGATGCATCAAAACATTTTATTGAAGAACAAAGTGTAGGAGTAGATTTATACCTCTTGATCTAGACTTGAGACCAAGGATAGACCACCTCCAAGCCCTTTGCTCTTGGAACTCCTTGAGCCTAGCCTCCCTCCTTGCTTCCTCCACTTTGTTAGAATGAGTGCACCTTGGTTCTCCTTAAGTCTCCAAGGTGGAAGACCTCTAAAGATCCACACCCACTAGTGTAGTGAGATGGATGGAGGAATGACCAAAAGGGAGAGAAGATGATTTAGCTAAACTTCCCTTTTGGTGGCCGGCCTTTGAGAGTGAATTTTGAGAGAGAGATGTTTTTCTCTTTGTGAAAACACTACACAAAAACCCTTATGAAACTTTTGTCTATAAAGTTCCTTTTATAACACAAAGAAACAAGTCAACAACTTGACTTCCTCTCTCTCCCTTTCCCTTTATTTGGCCGGCCCGCTTTAGTGTTGTTTCGGCTTTGGGCTTTTATTATTTCAAGTCATCCTATACTTAAATAAAAGCCCAATGGGTTTGGGCTTAATGGGCCCATATTAACCCGAACTTTTCTTTAAGTCCAAAACGATCTTTTATCGCTTTTATGATTTCTTTAGACTTTCTAATTAATCACAACACTTAATTAATCCAATTAATTATTTCCATCATCCATTAGTTGTCTCACTACAAGAGTGTATCGGTATACAATCATTTTAGGTTCTAATTAGCAAGGCAGTGAGGTGATTGGCACCAATCCAATTGATTATATTTAATCCAATCACTTAGTGAATTAAAACTTACTTTTAATTCTCCTTCTTCTTTGACGACTACTTATTTAGTCATCTAGAAGAACTCACAAGCCATGAGTGACATCTAACCATATATCATGGCTACCCAAGCTAATGTAGAATTTGTTCGGAGAACCTATTCAGTTGGAATTACAATGTAATTCGATCCTTCTCTAAAACAATACTCTCAATCACACTATTAGGGTATGGATATATTATGTCAAACCCCTAATGTGATTATTCCATGTTATATGATTCAATTGAGTCGTATAGGAACGCTTTCCTTTATTACGCTCGATACTTCGGCCGAAGATTCCGGAATCATATCTTAGAGTATTCTTCCTCTCATAACGAGGATTAGAGATCCCTTGTTGCGCATTTACTTGCCTCCATGGCTAAGTGGCTTAACCCCAACTATGCCGTGGACACCCGCGAATGGAGTGACTTTGACATAATCAAATATCAAGGACCTAACCACAAGACAACTATGATGCCTCAGGTCAAAGGACTACTTACATTATTCCAACCATTAGAGTT